ACAAATGCACTCATTTCACACGCCAGCAAAGTAATGTTCAAAATTCATCAAGCTAGGCTTCAACAGTACATGAACTGAGAACTTTCAGATGTGAAAGCTGGATTTAGAAAAAACAGAGGAAACAGAGATCAAATTGCCAACATCCATTGGATCAGAGAAAAAGCAGAGAAAGAAAAAGCAGAGAATTCCAGCAGAATATCTACTTCATTGACTATGCTAAAGCCTTTGACTGTGTGGATCACAACAAACTGGAAAATTCTTAGAGATGGGAATACCAGACCATGCGACCTACCTCCTGAGAAATCTGGATTCAGGTCAAGAAGCAATAGTTAGAACTGGACATGGAACAACAAATGGTTCCAAATCAGGAAAGGAGTATGTCAAGGCTGTATATTGTCACCCTGTTTATTTAACTTATATGCAAAGTACATCATGAGAAATGCTGGACTGGATGAAGCACAAGCTGGAATCAAGATTGCTGGGAGAAATATCAATAACCTCAGATATGCAGATGACACCACTCTTATGGCAGAAAGTGAAGAAAGGAGGCTCTTTAGCCTCCTGATGAAAGAGAAGAATGAAAAAGTGGCTTAAAACTCGACATTCAGAAAACTAGGATCACGGCATCCGGTCACATCACTTCATGGCAAATAGATTGGGAAACCATGGAAACGGTGACAGACTTTATTTTCCTGGGCTTCCAAATCACTGCAGATGGTGACTGCACCCTTGAAATGAAAAGACACTTGCTCCTTGGAAGAAAAGCTATCAGAACAAACCTAGACAGCATATTAAAGAGCCGAGACCTTACTTTGCTGACAAAGGTCCATCTAGTCAAAGCTATGGTTTTTCCAGTAGTCATGTATGGATGTGAGAGTTGGACCATAAAGAAGGCTGAGCACTGAAGAATTGATGCTTTTGAACTGTGGTGTTGGAGAAGACTCTTGAGAGTCCCTTGAACAGCAAGGAGATTAAATCAGTCAATCCTAGAGAAAATCATTCCTGAATATTCACTGGAAAGACTGAAGCTGAAATTGAAGCTCCAATACTTTGGCCACCTGATGTGAAGAACTGACTCCTTAGAAAAGACCCTGGCGCTGAAAAAACTGAAGGCATCAGGAGAAGGAGACAACAGAGGATGAGGTGGTTGGATGGCATCACCGACTGAATGGACTTGAGTTTGAGCAAGGTCTGGGAGTTGGTGATGGACAGGGAAGTCTGGCATGCTGCCGTCTATGGGGTTGCAAAGAGCTGGACACGACTCAGTGACTGAACTGAACTGAATGGCATTTATAGGAAAAGGAATTCTTAGTAAACACCAAATCCATTTAGATATAGATTTAAGAGCAAACTACCATTAAAAAACAAAGAAATGTGTCAACTGCAACAATCTAAATTTATATAGTTAAAATACAGTTTCTGCTATTCGTCTGCCTACAATGCGGGAGACCCGGGTTCAATCCCTGGGTCGGGAAGATCTCCTGGAGAAGGAAATGGCAACCCTCTCCAGCATCCTTGCCTGGAAAATCCCATGGATGGAGATGCCTGGTAGGCCCCAGTTCATGGGGTCGCAAAGAGTCAGACACAACTGAGCGACTTCACTTTCTGCTATTCTATCATACAAAAATAGCTAGACAGACCTTCACCAAATTTAGATGGTATATTTGGAGCAATCTGACTTCAATTATAGGCTACACGGTGTAAATTTAATGATGCTGAGGTGTGGTCACCTCAAAGAGACAGGAAGTTGTCCACCAGAGCAGCTGCAGACCACTGATGGGAGCTTGAAGACCTTTTTTTGCTCTTGTTCAGTTCTCCGTATCATGTTCCAGGCTGAGTGCCAGCAGGAATTTATTTATTATTTCTTTAACAATGGTTAATGATTTTTCAGAGGAACTATGGAAAGGTCAACTAGCATAACATAACTTAGAAAAACAAAAAATTGGAAACTAGAAAAAAAGGGTACTTGGACATCACATACAGGGAGCAACAATATATATTGCTTGGAAAAAAAAAAAAATACAAATTGCAGGGCCATGCTCTAGACCTAGTCAGCAGATCTCCAGGGATGAGACTCAAGAGATTCTAATGAACAGCTCTTTTCGTTGGCTTGGGCGAGCAACTTAATCAAAACCTTATAAAAAAAATAGCTAATGGACGTATTAATGTCTTTTAACTTGCTGAGTTCTTTCCAGTAAATTAAGCTGTTCTTAACCCAGATGGGACAGGGAGAAATTCTTTAAGGACAGAACTACATGTTATTGATCCCTGTAGCCCCGGGGACCTAGCCTAGATCAGGTACATAAATTAGACCTTAGACATAATTGCTGAACAGTGATTTAAGAGTACACAGTGAATCCAATAACTGTTGGAACTATACCGACAGATTTTAAGTGTCAAGTTCTAATCAACAGTTGAAATCTTTGGCTGCAGTACTTTTTAAGGAGAAACTAATACTTAGTATCTTTCTACTTCAGCTTTATGTCAAACCCAAATTCTGTACTTTAAATAATACCCTTAGGTTACTGAGACCAAAAACAGTTCCAAGTGGATACATTCATATTTCACTAGTTTCCAAATACACTGTACCACCATCAAGCATGGCTGTAAAAAACTAGATAGAAGCCTTGCTTCATTTCACTGCTGATCAATTCTTACAGTTTTTGGTTTTTTTTTTAAAAAACCCTTATCTCTTAGGAATATAAAGAGAAATATACATAGAATTGGTTAAACCCATCCCTTTCAGAGATTTGAATGTCCTAAATACAAAGAATGTACACTTTTATTTAAGTTTTTAAAAAAACTATGACAGAGGAAAAGAATAAATAAATATGGAATTATAAGCATAAAGCTTCCATGACGAAGCATTATGCTCAACTCTGAAATTCTCTGAAATTCTGAAAACCAAAGCAAAAAAAGAAAAGAGGAATTTCAACTAAATACACATTCCTAAAAAAAGAGATGGAATATACTAATTTCTCAGAGAAGAAAGCTTTCTCTTGTTGGAAGTCCTCAGACTCAAAAGTTGGATGAAGCTTTGCTTTTATCTGTTTTAGATGTGGTATATTTACAATTTATTTGAAGAAAGTGTTCCGATGCTTAAAAACAAAAACTAACTCTTTAACTTTACAAATAAAAAAAAAAAGGCTAACAAAATCAACAATTAATCTACAGTTAAATGCCTAATAAGCAGCTTCAGGATCTTACCTAATCTTAACTTTGATTAATTTCTTTTTAATACAAAAACAGTCCGGTGCCAGTTCTGAGGTGGGGGGGTGGGGGAAGGCAGCAAACCAATGAAGGAAACCTAGCAGTTCAGCTTTTTATTCATGTTCTTCCCCTAAATGAAGCTTTATACATGTAGGGGATGATCTAACAAGAAATTTCCAGCTTTCTGAACTATCCAAGGACACAAGAGAATTATAAGGTCACAGATGTTAGCTCTGCAGCAGACTGACCTATTCAGCTGTAAAGTCAGCCAACCTGGGGAAACGAAATTTTCTCCAGCATGTAGTTACAAACAACAGTGATTTGCAAAGGGAAGGGAGATGGCACTGGACAAGTTCTCAGGACAACAGAGATCTTTATTTTTCAATCAGCAAAATTTTAGAGCAAAACACTACAGAAGCCAGCTATAAATATTAATGCACAAAAATCTGTCCTGAGCAAGATGTGAGCTGTATATTTATACATATATGCAAATTCTAAGTTTACCACCTTCCTGAAAAATTCCACTCAGCCTTCAATTTATCCTCTTCACATAAAACTGGATATGGTTTTCCTCGTGGTCGTTGACCACAAAAATGGAGTAGGTACAATTAAGACAAAATTTATGAAAGCAAGAAGATGTATACATAGATGCATATGTATAATTCCAGATTCTGTGATGAAATTATAAAGAAATCTACTATTAGCCAAAAAAGTCAAATTGATGATCCAATTTCAAAATTCCTATCTCCTCTGTAAATTAAAAAAATTATGAAAAACTTAATATGCTGCTTATTTTAAAGGGAGAAAATCTGTTTTTAACTCTTTATCTCATAGTTTGCAATATGAGTATTCCAAAAAAATCCACTGGAATTTACAGTTAATGACAAAAGTCAATAATGTAAAAACATCTTTTTCTTCTAAAAGTAGTCTTCCTTTTTCATATAAAAGTAACTAACACAATTTCAGATTAAAAAAGGACAAAGTTAATAAATAATTATTAAAAATAACCAGTAAGATAATGCATACCTTAACATCTAAATTTTAAAGTGATACCAGAGGTTATCTACAAGTCTGTACAACACTGCTAAGTTGCTTCAGTCGTGTCCGACTCTTTGCAACCTCAAGGACTGTAGCCTGCCAGGCTCCTCTATCCATGGGCTTCTCCAGGCAAGAATACTGGCATGGGTTGCCATTTCGTTCTCCAATTAAAATTAACAATACTTCTACCATAGGTTTATTATTTAACATTTCTTTCCAAAAAATTAATCCTCTTATATACATATACACAGCTTTATGAAGTGACATTTCTGTAAAGAGCAAAATAATGTTCAAATGGGAAATATACCACACCAACAGATAAGGAAACTTTCAAATGTAATTTTCAAATGCTAATTTTTCAAAACCAATTTTTAAATAGCAAATACTGGGACCACACCAATGAACAAGGAAAAAGTGAAACATGGCGTCAACCAAAAGCGGTGACATGGCAGAAAAGGACAGACAGTATGTGAATTGAACGCCCCCCCCAAATTCCCCTGCTAGATATTAGTTTCCCAAGTTAGAATTTTTTAGGGAATTTCTTAACTTGCTACAGGACGTAAGAAATACTCATTTTTCTAAAACCCTCTATGTATTTTTCGATATCATAGAGTTTGCTTTTATGTAATGATGATAAATATTTAACTGCAGAGCAATCTGCTATTTTCTTTACTGAGCTACTGATTTACTTGCCTATATTTGTTGCAAACAGTTACAGGAAACCCAAAGGAAAATTCAATAACAAAACGCACCTTTGCCACTGGTTTTGTTCTCAAACTTCCATTCTCCACAACAGTGAGGTCCAGCTTGCCATCATCCTTGCTTCCTATAGCTTTCAGTCCTTGCAAAAGAATATCTCGTAGCTTTTGATAAAGAGGTTTTTCAACATAATCCAGTAACTTCACTGTTTCCATGTACTTAGCAATTTCATCTAAAAGAATGACAATTATTTTCTAGTTTTTATCATAAATACAATATACTTATCTCTTCTAAGAAAATGATCCACAACTACAGTAACATTAGAATGCAAATATATAGCTTGTTAAATATGTCTTTCTATCACGTCTTCATTGAAAGTATGCTTTTCAATTGAATTTCAGGAATTGTCAGATAAGTCAAATAAAAAAATGTATTTTTAGATACAGTGCAAAAAACATCTTTTAATTGTGACAGTAAGAAAGAAGACAAGCTTAAAATTTTAATATATGTAAAAATAATTACTAATATAATTTTAAAATTACTTTTTAAAAGGACCTAGAATAAATATTATGAAGTAAAATGTGCTGAAGTACAATAAATATCATAGCCAGAATTTTTTTTTTTTTTTTTTTGCCACAGAAGCCATTAGTTCTAGAGAATACAACTGCATTTTTTGGGTAAATGAAAAATGAAACACGAAAAACAGGTGAGAAACACAAGCAAGGCCTGGTTGTCCCATAAAACAGAAAAAACAACTTGTGAATGATAAAAGGTCTACTGTACACTGAGGCAGAACCAAACCCATAAAAAGAAATCTTACTAGTCAAGATCAACACCTCTCAACACCCATCTAAAAATCCATCTTTGGGTTAATAACTCATATGTGTATATGCCCAGTACAACCTTTCCACCTACCTCCAGACTTGTATATCCACTGACTTCCACTGACTCATATACTGGCTCTGTAACTGGCATCTCACATCCCAACCAAATCCAAACTCCTGACCAACCCCTAAAACCTGCTCACCCTGCGGTTTTCTCTGTCTCAATTATAGAAAATCCCATTCTCCCAGATCCTCAAATCCTCTTCCCACATCCAATAAATCAAGAGATCATGTCAATGCTACACACACATTCATTCATTCAGACATTTTAAGTATCCACCACATGTCACGCATGATTCTAAATACTTGGGTACCTGAGAAAAAAGAAACGAAAAACCTTCCTTTCAACTTTCTTAATCTGATAAAGGGGATCTACAGAAAACCTAAAGCAAACGTCACCAAGTGTAGTAAAATACTGAAGACCTCCCTTCTGAGAGAAGCGAACAGCAAGGACGTCCATCTGTACCATTCCTGTGCTGCCTGAAAGTCCTGCAGTTTTCAGCTGGTCCAGTAAGGCAAGGAAACAGACAGCAGGCACTGAGTGGAATGGAGGATGTAGAAGTTTATTCACAGACACTCGAGTGTCTGCAGCAAATCCTAAGAAATCTACCAAAAAACTTCTAACCAGTGTGTAAATTTAACAAGATCACAGAATATAAAGTATTTAAAAACCTATTTTTCTTCTATACACCAGCAACAAGCAATTAGTAAAGTAATAAAAACATATCACATACAATAGCATCAAAAAGCATCAAATACCTACAAACAAATATCATGAAAGATGGGCAAGATTTTTTTCCAAATGAAAACTATAAAACACAGGTGAGAGAAACTGACACCAAATTAAATGGAAGCTATAAAGTATCAATTGTATAAAGATGCTAATGCTCCCCAATTAGTCCACAGAGTCCCTGCAATCCCACTCAAGATTTCCGCACATTGCAGAGGGAGAGGATATGTGTGGAACTGACAGGTGATTCTAAAATGTACAAATATACAAAGGATCAAGCAAAACAGCAAAGTCAAGTTTAAAGAAGTAAAAGTGCCAGAGAACTTAAACTACCAGATAAAACTATAGTAATTAAGACAGTGTGGCCCAAGAACAGAAAAAAAAAAAAAAAAAACAACTATGAAAGAGCCCAGAAACAGACTCACAGATCCGCACATGACTGAACACAAAGGGGGCATCACAGAGCAAGGCTGGTCTTTTCAAGAAAGGCCACTGTTAACTATGTGAGGTGATAGGGGTGTTAAATCAGGTTCATCTTAGTAATCATTCGCCAGTTTACATGTACAGGCAGATCTTGGAAGACATCGCAGGTTAGCTCAAGACTGCCGCAATTAAGCAAGTATCACAATAAAGCAAGTCATGTTACCTTTTCTGGTTTCCCAGTGCACAGAAAAGTTATGTCTATGCTATACTGCACTCTGTATACTGCTATACTGTATGTGTGAAATAACACAATGTCTAAAAAAATGTGCATACCTTAATTAAAAAAACACTTTATTGCTAAAAAGTGCCCACCATTATCTGAGCCTTCAGTGACTCATAATTTTTTGCAATAATATCACTGATCACAAATCACCATAAGAAGTATAATAATGAAAAAGTTTAAAATTTTGTAGGAGTTACCACAATGTTTGACACAGACAGGAAGTGAGCAAATGCTGTTGGAAAAAACAGCACCAACAGATTTACTCAACATAGGTTGCCACAAACCTTCAATTAGTAAAAAGAAACACATCTGCAAAGTGCAGTAAATAGTGAATCTCTATAAAATGAGGTATGCCTACATAGCAAATCATCACATTATAGAATTATATTTGTCAGTTATTCCTCAATAAAGTTAAAAAATAAAAACATTTAAGAAATGTAAGAATGGGAATGAATTTCACAAATGCAGTATTGAATGAAAGAAAAAGCAAGCCACCAGAAACTAGAACATTAAAAATCCCTGCCCTCGTGAAATTATCTGCTTTGTTCACTCTGTGGTTCTATTTCCATACAGTCCAAAGAGACACCCTTGATGCTGGAAGTCGTGGCAGAGAGTCATTAGGCCAGAGGCAGAGGCCGGTGACTGGAAGAAGGCTCCAGGGAGCGAATCTGGAAAAGCTGTAACATTCCATTTCCAGATGCGGTCGACAGGTTGCAAATTTAAACAGCTTAAGCTCATGGTAGACCTCCCTGAAAAGGAGACAACTGAGCCAAGGCTTGAAAAGACTTCTAAATATATCCAAACTGACCGCTGCTCACACCTGCACTGCTACTTCCCTTGCTCAGATCATGGCAGGAGGCTCCTAACTGGCTCCTGTTTGCACCCAGCCTTGCCTCCTTAGCAGTCGATCTTCAAGACAGGAGCTGGAGAGAGTTCCCTTAAAGACAGACAATTCACGTCCCTCCTTTCCTCCACACCTCACGCGCTCTTGCTCAAAGTAAAAGCCAAAGCCCATGATGGCCTAGAAGCAGGCATCACCAGGCACTCATGTTCCTTCCACATGGACACGTTCTTCCCCAGAGCTCACCCCGTCTCCTTCCCACAGCTGCTCAAATAGACCTCCACAGGAAGACCATCCCAGGCCACCCGATTTACAGCAACAATCCACCCCATCCCTTCAATTCTATTTCCTGTGTTTTTCGTTTTTGCCACAGTACTAACCATGCAATAAACTGTGAAATTTACTCACTTGTTTATTGTCTACCTTTCCCAACTAGAGTTTCACGAGGACAGGAGATTTTATTTATTTTGTTCACTGATGTATCCCTAGTGCCTAGAAGAGTCTGAGGCACAAAATAAAGCCTCAACTAGGAAAACAGTGGCATTACTGAATGAAATTTGGTTCCTTGACTGAAAGCACTGAATACCCACTAAGGCCCACCCGTGGAAAGGCCTACGCGAGCAGGCCCCAGTGAGATGGTTACCCAACAATACCAAAGCTCTTACATGAAGGGTTGTCAGTCTACGGACCTCAGGATGTTTTTCCTCTCAGAAAACAAAATCCTTATGAACACTAAAGAAGCCTTTTCTTACCTGGCTTGTTTTTCTCAGGAAAACATTTGTCCATCAAACTTGCAATATTTTCTCTGTATCTGTTAAAAATTAAAGAACAAGTCATTGTTTGATGCTTGATACCATGGAAAGTCATTAATACTTAATACCAGTAAATAGCACATTAAGCAGCACTGTGCTACATCCCAAATACACTTACGAACATTCTTCTAAAATAAATTCAGCAAAAAGAAATCCAAGGAATCTTACTGTTAAAGAAGTACTTTCTTATCTCTACATTAGTGTCAGTTAAAGCTATAGTCCTTGTGAAGAAGTTCTGACCAAACATCTGCCTCATCATTTTGCCCAAAATAATTTACTGTAAGTTTTCCTTTACCTAATTTTGGAATCTCTGACGTAATTAGGATCTCTCAAATTATCCTCCCATGGCAGATGGCCACTAAGCCACTGGATCATGCAATAACCAAGGATTTCCAAGTCACCACGTCTTGACGGGGCTGTGAAGCAAAAGAAGAGGATTCAGCACAGCGAAATGATGTTTAGGGCAGAATTTCAGGTTCATCTAAAGCAATAAGATAAGAGTCAACTCTAAGTCTTCTTTTTCATCAGACAATCTTGACTCCATTTTGAAAAAAAGCACTGAATACTGGGCAATATCGAAGAACTCATTTACCTCTAGCTAATAATTTACTTAATAACCCAAAATGGCAAAACTATACAGTTTCAAACTGAGACTACTAGTCTACGAAATAAATTATAAAGCAATGATACATTTAATAGTGCCCTTGGAAAATGTGAAGATATTAAAAATGCCACAAGCTATTAAGAGGCCCAGAGAACTGGGGGTTTTAGCTCCTCCAGTGTTGGACACAGCAAAAAAAAAAAAAAAAGAAAGAAACGACAGCTGAAGAAACAGGCCAGCTGAATGGGTGACAAAGTAAGTCTACTGGTGACAAAGTTGCAGCTGCCTAAGAAATCACAGACCTTTACGGGGGAAGGCCCTAGCATTCCAATTCAGCTAAAGAAAAGCAAAAGCAGCCTCACGGCAGCTGACTGAACTACTTCTGCCACCAACACGCCATGACCTCTGAAGGGTGAGGGGAAGACGGGGAGAACACAGGCGCCCTGCTCCTCAGATGCAGGCGCCTAAGCGCTCCCTTGCTCCCCGCCCGATCCTGCCTCCTCAGTCTGACCCGCCCGCTTATCTCCTGACGCGGATGAAGAGCCAGGCCTGAGCTCAGCGGAAAGCACTGGGGCCGCAGCTCCAGCGCAGCTGCCTCCGACCTACCCACACCGTTGTGCGCATCGATGCTGGTGAATTCAATCGTGCCGTCGTGACATCTTTTGGGGTCTTCTTTGTATTCTTTATGAGCGCCTTCCGGGCAGTATCGATAAGCAAGGCCATAGTCTACCAAGTACACCTGTAGACGCCCAAGCACCAAGACAGATTAAAGCCTGTAAAGCTCAGAACCAGAACACTGTCGCCGGAGGGCAGATCCACCCACAAGCCACACTACACAGCCCGCGCAAGTCTGGTCCAGCACGCGAACACCACCAGGTACTTAAGCCTCAGTGCCGTTTATTTAAAGAAAAACACTGAATGACCATGTAGCTACAGTGCAGATAATACCACCTGACTCCCTTACGCAAGTAGGCGCTTTACTCGTAATAATCTTGTCTCCTCCATTTGAGCACGGATCATAAATCATACACTTTTTCTCATGGCATCAAAAGCGAAGCTGAGCGGAGTAGACCATCAATACTGGCCGCGGAGCACCTGCCACACTGCGAGCAGGCGCTAACTCAGCAGACACGCCGCGTGCTAGTTCTTCCTCTTTACTCGTAGGGTGATCAAGTGTCAACTCACTTCATAAAAATAGTTTCAAGATTATAACAATGACCTGAAGAACTTTTAGATGAGGCTCTTAAGTACATTTAAATATTATATGTTAAAGTCAAGTCTTCATAATTAAAACTAAATTTTAATATAATGCATACACACATCTATGGGCATGTACATGTACATCTGATTAGCATACAAAGCTAATAAATTTGGCTTTACTCTGTTCCAGAGCCACATATTACATCTCCAACTCCGGGTAACTGTCTCGCAGATGTATGCATCTGGTCACAGGAGGGAAGTGAAGTAAAAATATGAGTCTGGATTGAGCACATACATCTAACACTAAAAAAATTATCCCATCCAAAGCATATGCCCAAAGGACAACCAAGCTGCAAAAATATTTCCACCTGAACAAAAGGCAGCATGTTTCAGTCAACTGTAAAAAGAAATTATATTTTTATTTATCATATAAGTCTGGTCGACTTCAATTAACGGAATCCTTACCATTCAGGTTCTTAGCTGTGTATTGTTTGTGTGCTTGCTTATTTTTAACCTAAATGCAAATAAAGTAAGTTGGTTGGGAATCCTGTGGCTGCCTTTAGGATTGCTCCATTAGCCTGCTCTAACCAGCAACTTCCTTCTGGGGAACCTACAGAGGTCCTTACAGCCACCGTAACAGAGAGAGGGAAGGGGAGGACGGGAAAAGAAAGGGGAGCCAAAGGAGAAAGGGGAAGCTGAGCAAGGGGGAGTCAAAGTCAGGCCTAAGACAAGGAAGAAATAAGTACAGTATGTTGACTTAACAAACCTAAAATACCTAAGTATCCCTTTCTTATATAAGCTCAAGTTAAGAAGTGAGACATACCTAAAATGGATTAAATACAGAGGCCCAACTATGACTTCAACTAAACCTGACTCTTACCAAAATCATGGAGTCAGCTTCAAGAAAATTATAAACCCCTCTAACTCCAATTAAATTGAGCCAAATACAGGTATAACAACACCAGCTTTTCTCTTTTCCTTAAAAAACGAAAATTACAAAGTGAATGTAATAAGCTTTAAAAATGCATATTTGAATTCCAAACCCTATACAAATTTAGACAGCTAAGATATTTCTGTAAACCAATTGATTTCAATAATCAACATGTTAAAGACCAAATTTTCCAAGTAACAGAACACTTACATTTGATGGATTTCTTGAACAAAGGAAATAAAAAAAATGACAAAGCAGACAGGCAAACGTAATTCATTGATGCACTATGTAATTTTAGGCTCCCACCCCCAAACAGCTATTTGAAATTCATTTTGTATCACAAGTACTTCTTCTGAATATTATTTAGGGCAAAATAGCCAACTTGATAAAGTGCCAACAAATCACATCAAAAATGTAGAATGTTAACTAGATAAAAGTGTCAAGAAGAAATATTATTATTACCATATCTACTTCAAAAAGTAAAACTTCTGCATGGGTTCAAAAGTTCACAGCAACTGTATTTGTTTTCAAACAACAGGTTTTAAACAGTAGAAATTAAAGTTATAAAGCTACCTGGTCAGGATTCTTGTAGCTGAGAAGAAGATTTGAGGCCTTGATATCTCCATGTACATACTCATGCTCATGAATATATTCCAGAATATCCAGCTATGAAAGCATCATATACAATAAATTAATGCAGTACCTGACACCAACCAGCAGAGGACCAAGCGTCAACACAACTAGCCTTTACTGGATTAAAAACGAGAAGAATGTAGCTCACATACAATTCTTAAGCTTAGCTGCAAGACAGTTTTCCGAGAAAATCTTTTGGCATTTGCTTCATATATTTTCTGAAGGTCACTCCCAAAGCGATCTATTATCATAAACCTGTAACTAAAGACAAACAAGAAAAGTCAATGAACAAAATGTAACTCAGGAAAACCTACTTTGCCATAAGCACTCTCCTTTCAAACTAATTTTTCTCAAGGCAATGTTTAGTAAGAAAGTAGAAAGCAAAAGGAAAGAAAGACATCTGAAACTAGTTCCTCCAATGAAAAATCTCAAGAGCTGCAAGAGCTGTCCTGATTCTGTCTTTTATCTTAGGGGCCTCCTGGTCTCAACAAGTCACTTGAGACAGCATTCAATGCAAGGAAAAAACACTCAGAAGACAACAGATGCTTTACGGTAAAGATAATAAAGATAAATAATCTGAGTGAGGCTGATATCACTGATTTTTGTCATAGTTAAAGTTAATTTATGCTTCTGGATATTAGCTTTCTATCTGTGACTGTTCTCTATTTTTAAGGGGATTTTAGCAATATTAACATTCTGTTAAATTCAAGACTGTCAAGAGATGCTGTAATAATAGCTAAATGCAATAAAACTGCTTAAATGGTATAAAAGAATTGTATACCAAGTACTCAACAGATAAGATTTGGGGAACAGTAAATGTCCCAGAAAAACATAAAGATTTTCAGTTTTGCCACAAAACCAACTCTGTCACTTTGGCCGAGTCACTTTTCTTGTTTGGGCCCCAATTTCTGTAGGTGTCAAACGAAGACAGTAGGGCCTCACACTTTCTAGGGTCTTTCCCAGCACCCAACTCTACAATTCAATAACTATGCGTGTGTTTCCACATACTGTGTATCCAGTACACAGCACACTTCAGGGCACTGAAAAGCATCGCCTCATTGCAGTGACTGGCTCATCTTTTGCTCTGTGAACCACTTTTACCTTTATAGAGTTTTCCAAATTCTGAGCTGTCTAGTTAAACCATTCAATAAATCAATAAAAAACCAAGATGTATCAAACACTCAAAATATATTAAGCTATCTTCTAATGGGAATAAGATTAATAATCACTGTAACAACAGCAGCTGGCATTTACTGAAATATGAGAAAGGCCCTATTCTAAGCACTTTAGATGTTTTAATGTCAGTGCATTTAAACCTCCCACCACCCTGATGAGGCAGGCCCCCCATGAGCCCCACTTTACAGCAGAAGAAAACTGATCATTAGTAATTTGTCCTTTAGGAAGTGGTGAATCTACATCTTTGACCACCACACTAAATATATCAAAATAAATAAACATAAGTAGGGCACAAAAATCTCACTTACATATTCTAGATTTTTAAGATAAAAATAAGGTATGACAATTCTACAGGGAAAGGAAGAGCTAACAGTTAAAAGGCAATACACCAAATAAAAAACCCAAAATTCTACCTACTCTTGAACTGGAAAAGAATTAGAGGTCCTTCTAAACATCTTTTAAGAAAATAATTAACATATGTAGAGGTAAAGTTATTTGTCCAAAGTCATATAATTAGTCAGTGGCAAAATGCCTTCATTTTTCTAAGACCTTCAGTACCCCAACCTCAAACATAATAAAGAGGGAACAGTAATGTTGGCTTCCTGATTTCCTCTGTACAATAGGTTTTGAGAGGTGAGGGAGGAAACCAAGGACACATGGATGTGTTTGTTTTTTACAAATAAGTGATGTGATTGTGCAATTATTATAAAATAACACGTAGGTAACAAAACTACAGCCTCTGCTGACACTCTGAAAGGGAGCTGAAGCACACGTGGTCTAATTCCATTGGAGATCTATTAACACATCACAGGACATGGGGCTCTGTTTTTATTCACAGATCACCCCACCACTACTCTCAACAATCCCTCCATCTTCTCACCATGTCTGAACTATCCACATCAAATGAAGCAAGATTCTGTACACTGCACAGAAATCTCTACCATGTTCTTCCACAAAATTATTTCTACCACTGAGCACTAAAAGAAAAGGTACTTCCAAGTAACTTCTCTCAAGTAAAACCACTGATGTACACTTTCCTGGGGACTTGAATAAAACAATGCAAATAATGGCAACCTATAAATCAGCATAAATGATTTAATAACCATAGCAGCTAACATTTTTACGAGCCTAACACTGTGCTAAGCACTATATTCACATCACTTCAGATGAGTTACAGGAGGAAGTAAGGATTTCTGGCAGGGAAGGAGGGTGGGAAGGAGTCTTACTGTTTTTGTTTTTTTTTTTACATTTGTAAGAACTAAAATGATTATTTCTTAAAAGCTTCAACCTAAAAAGTAAATCACTACCTTACGGTGATGAACCTTCCCATTTACAAGATACGTGCAGCCAACTCTGTCACAGAAGACACGGGTTCAGTGGTAAGGTCACCAGGAGTCAATGGGAGGTCCGCTGTACCTCAAAAGTGTCTGTTCCTTGCACCTGCAGTAGCTTCCAGTCACCTACCGCACACAGGCTCCAAACAGCCCTTTCTTCGTGTCTTCATTACCTGCCTCACCCTCTTTCTCCAAGTCATTTTCTTCTCTTCCTCGTCTGTGTACAATCACCCTTTCTTTGTTGAAGAAAGATGGCCACAGGGCCACCCCAAAGGCCAGAAGCCTACTCTGCCCCTGTGTTCAGGTCACTCCCCGCTTGAGATGCTATTCCTTGTCTACAGGGCTTTTCTAAACCAGCAGTTCTTAATATTTGAGAGATTAAAGACCCCTGTGAGAGTAAAGCCAACACTTACACATATTCTGACAGCTTTACATTTAATGCTCTTATTACGTGGGGAGGCGTTACTCCGCTTCACCCATGTGGTGCCACAGGCAGACAGGAGGAGCGTACCCAGTCACACCATCTTAAGGCAAACACAGATGTGAAACCAAGGGTCTGCCCCTAGGCCACTCTACACTGTTTCTCTAAAAAATTCCATGAAAACTACAGAAGCTTGTCCCAGCAAAACTATAACAAATGTTATCTGGCCATTCCCCGGAGTTGCCGGGCTCCCTGGGAGGTGCCTGGGTTCCAGGATCGGAACTTCCCGATGCAGAGTGCTGGCTGCCCACCAGCAGCTCCTCTGATTTCTGTCATGTCCGGCGGAGCCCTACTGGGGTTCAGGCTCTCTATCCTTTCCCCCGACTTATCGCTGTGACCACCCTACCCTTGCCAGTGGCTGGTTTAAGAATGAGCACTGATAAAACTTCAACAAAGGAACACGGAGGGACGTCGGCCACAAGACCCCTGGGAATGGTTTCCCTGCCAGGAAACTGAAACTCACGAGAAGCAACCCTATTTTCTGCTGTTTGCATGGGGGACTGTTTGCATGCGAAGTCTAGAAATGGGCAGTCACTGTGAGACTGCACGATGGAGAATTAACAGAGAACAAAGCCAAGGTAAAGTAACCTGAGCACATGATGGGTGACTTAAAGAGAGCTGAGTCAGTTTTATCTTTACCTGCGGCTGAGAGTCATCCTAACCAGTACACCCCAGTTCCAACCAAATCGACTCTCCAAATCTCAGCTACCAGCACTTCTGAATGACACTCTATTCATTCGATCAAATGTTTTTTAGTGCCAATTATGCATCAAAAGCATTGGAGGTGTCCTCCAACTCAACTCTGCCAACAGTGTCCTCTCCTCTCTGAATTCCTAAGACACACACGAGGCAGAATCACACAATTTGGCACTTAAACTGGCCTCTGGTTGTTTCAAACAAATTTGCTTTTTCTCATCAGCTAGACTGAAACCTCATCAAGGTGGGCAGATTATACTGATGTCTCTAACAGGAAATGCCATATTGAAGCCCGAGGGCTCCCTTTGACATACGCAACATGAAGTTTTCTCTTTGCTTGTTCGTTATCAAGGGAAAAAAATAAGGCAGGTACGTTTGGCTTTGTGTTCCTACTCGTCAGCTGGGTTCCAGGCAGCTGCTACCACTTGGGACAAGCCCCCCAGACGAGGGCGAACACCTTGTTCATCTTGGCAGAAGACACTCCACACAACCCAGGTGAAGGCCAAGCAGCACTGAGACAGGTGCTCTGTACATAATTCTTGACTAAACAAACTGAACAATAAATGCTCAAAATAGAAGGAGAAAAACAAAACACGCATGTTTTTACCTTTTTCCATTTTTGTCATGTAGACCAGACCCCCAGTACTTAGGGACACCCAGGTACTTCAGTTTATGGGTACGAATCCATTTCTGAACTACAAGTTAAAACACATGCTTGTGATTTCAGTTTTGTTATACATAAGCAGGTTTTTATATCTTCCAGAACAGAATGTGTAATATTCCACCTTAATTCACAAAAAAATAAGTGAACAGTGCATAATAACCAATAAGTGAAAGTACTTTACAACTGAAACATTTTTTTTAACCTACAAAATTGTGCTATCCTGCCCTAAATGTTGTCTTTAAAATGAAAAATCTGCAAGACATTTTTTTAAGAAGTCAAACCACAGTACTGCAATTAAGATTAATATCTCCAATTACCTAAGTGTCTACTAGTTTCCACAGAGTCTTACTTTTTACCTCATTCTAAAGGTCTTCCGTCAGGAAATCAAGCTTGAGGGGAGACAGAGCCTCTAGAGAGATTCCCAAACCCAATACCAGCCTACCAGGAGACTCCCTGGATCTGCAGAGGGGATGGAACAGGGGAAGGGGACAGGAGGACAGGCAGGGTCAGGGGAGCTGAAGAGATCTTGCCCTCTCCCTTGGCAGCCTGTTCTAGTGCATCGTGATGGCAACCCTGCAAGTCATGGTCTCCAGAACTTAGGAAAATACTCAAAAGCAGATGTGGAGATCCCTGAGCCATTCTCATGGATTAGGGCTAACTCTCAGCTTTTAACACTACGTCCTAAATCATATATTATTTAGCAACTCTGTATTACCAATATAAGTGAAATCTTATCATAACAAATCCATTAAGAGATCAAAATTCTTTCACACAAATCTCATTTAAATACAGTCTATCTATAAAGTAAAAAAATAACAAAACCATAGTGCTCTAATCTTGGCTTAAAACAAAAAAACAAAACCAGTGATATTTTAAAAGTGCAAACACATGTGTACTGTATTTCTTACTTTGTTCCGGTTTGGCAGCTCGCTGGTAGAACTTTAATTCAGTAAAAAGAGGTCCATTATCACTGGGTTCCTTAAAATAAAAGAGTTCATTAGTACACACAGTAGTTAAAATTACTGAGTAATTTTCAATGAACCTTCAAAAATACTAATAAATCAATTTTCTTTCCAAACTCTTTGCGACTCCATAGACTATTTCCCCACTAGGCACCCCTGTCCATGAAGTTCTTCAGGCAAGAATACTAGAGTACGGGTAGCCATTCCCTCCTTCAGGGGATCTTCCCAACCCGGGAACCGAACCTGGGTTTCCCGCATTGTAGGCCGATTCTTTACCATCTGAGCCACCTAGGAATCCCTCTTCCAACAATATGATTTTGATATTTCAGTTTATAAACTATGTTTGAGATTAAGTAATACATTTGGTTTCAGATACTCTCAGAAGAGTCCATAAGTCTTGTATTTCCTGTATTTCTCAAGGTTATTTCTACATGTGGTAAACTATACAAAATCAGATATACAGCTTAATCTTTGCAGAAATTTAAGAAAAATTGTTAACCTTATTTTCAACCATTATTAAACTTTCTCTTAAGCAAAGATCAGCAACCATGTTAACTGTTTCACCAAGGGGCTACAAGATTATTTCTGAGATTTAACAAAAGTTTCAACACCTGATTTAACCCATTAGTGGCAAAAATCCCATTCCTTTCCTGTTTCTCATTACAGTTATATCTAACATCAAAACTAGCAGGAAACCAATCTTATCACAAAGACAAGTGTTCTGGAATCCCAGAGCAAGCAAGCATGTCCACATGACTAGATCCTTTGTTGACACTGATTCCTATGATTCTCAAAGAGGGAGCCCTACAATTTAGTCCCCGCATGATAATTTAAAGTTCAGAGGGAAATGAGGCTCAACAAGCACTGTTTTCCACCAACGTTAGTGAACTATACTCATTTCATATTTTAAGGGATATGAACAGTTAAAATTATTTGTAAAGACGCTTATATTCACAAAAAAGTACTTGAAAAATAAGAAATATCAGCTTGTTGGGAGTTTTGCCTAAATAAATAAATCTGGGATAGTGGGAAACATAATTTTGTGAACTTTCTAAACAGTAAATTTTGTCTAATAAATTGATCAGTATTTAATGTTTGATAGTTTATGTTGATATTATCTTAATTATTAAGGGTCTAAAAAATTTTGAAAAGTATCAAATTTTTAAATAAGGAGGCTAATATTTCTAAACTAATTCTAGGGCTGCTTTCCTTTGGAGAAGTTCAGGAAGAAAATTATTTCAGACAGAATGTCTGTGTAACTGGAGTTTCAGGGTCAGCGGAGCATTAGAAGAAGCGCTAAGAGAAGTCTACTACCTTATCTGAGAAAAAATTTGTAGAAATATGTAGATTTCCACAAATATGCTAATACTTAATATATGTTCACTTTTTCTTTATTCAAGATACTCTGTCAGAGAAGTTAATTTTGTTCCTTAAAGTTTAAACAAAACTACTCTAAATACACAGTTTAATATCTCAGACTTCCTGTTATTCAGAAGAACAGAAATCCCTAAAGTACTTACAAGAAGACTGATTAGACAATATGCAAAGAGTCAGGCAGTAGCCACTAAGAATAGTATTCCACAGCAAAAGAGCAACATATATAACACTGGGACCAGAATCGGAAAATAAGCTAGCCTTATTTGTTACAGGCAAGCTTTGGGAGAGAATGGTATACAAGGATTGTATACCACATCTTAAGAAGTAGAAACTAACCAATGTACTAAGGTGTGCCAAATCACTACCTTGTGGATTCACAACTACAAGTTTTGCCATAACCTGTAGTTCCCTCCCTTGCAGCAATGGAAGCTAGACAGACACTTATGAATGCTGAGAGCCCATGGCTGAGAATAGGCCTGCAGCAGGAGTAACACGTTCAGTGTAAGAAATGGAAATTCAGGAGAGGAATTTTGGGAAGTTACTCTCCAAAGGCTAACTTTTAGAGTAGCTCATAACTCAGGTTTGAAAGGAGTTTCCTAAGACACATTCCTGGCTTATTACCATCTGTATAAAATTCTGATTTATTCAGTTTCAACCTATGTCATATCAACTTTAATTTTCAAGCTATCCTTCAGGCAATAATTTATTAAACTTATAATAATAAGAATCAACCTATATAAATCAAGCTATTATATTGAAAGTCCCATTACAATAAAGACTCTTTGATCTCATTTCATCCTTTTTTCTAATTCAATAAAATTCCATTATAACAAAATAAAAGACCTACTTCCTTGGCATTGCACTCCAGCAAAGCTAGCTATTTCTGTTGAAGAAAATACCTTAACTCATAACTAAAAATTTTATTAACATACTTCAAATCTAAAATACTTTGCCAACTCTATAATAGCCAAGATTTAGAAAAGAAATTGGGACTGACATTTTAACTAGAATATCACTAAACGTTTCTTTAAGACTTCTAAGTGTCAAAATGAAGATGACAACAGAAAAAAAAATTAAAATGTGATATATTTCAACAACACCATCTAAAAGCAACTGGCTGCCATTTAAAAATGAAGCTGTATAAAGTTTCTCCTTCCTACCAAAAAATTATGATATATGAATTGAAAATTCAGGTCACTTCTCATAACATCAGTGTTGGAAATTAAACATCAGTCTTCAACTTCTTTCCAGAGAACTTCGGACCACAGATATCTCTCAGTACACACTGGAAACAGACTATAACACACATAACTGTTAGAATATAAGATCCTAAAGCCTGACCTCTGCCCCCAGCTCTGCTACTAGCTCACTGACATGACCACAGAGGGGACAGGACTGAAGGAAGCAATCCATTATACAACCTACTAACAAGAAAACACAAAACGAGGGACTTCCCTGGTGGTCCAGTGGTTAAGAATTCACCTTTCAATGCAGGGGACGTGGGTTCAATCCCTGGTCAGGTAACTAAGATCCCACATGCCAAAAGGCAACTAAACCCACACACCACAACTACAGAGAAACCTGCCTGCCACAACAAAAGAGCCCGAGGGCCACAACTAAGACCCCATGCAATAAATACGTATTTAAAAAAAAAAAAAACACAGACACAAAACCAAGTTACTACTTCTCTCTGCACATTTCCTTTCCTGAAATAAAATACAGAGAGTGTCTCTCAGTTATCCAGAGGCAGAGAATACAAGTTCACCATCACTGGTGACCCAGCACCATGACTCCAAGACTGCCCCCGTAAGTCAGTAAGGATTAAGGTCCTAAACAGAACCAGACACGGCCACTGAGGAGGACAGGCTATGCCTAGTATATACCTAAACATCCATCTTAAATATGTGAGTCGTAACTTCACTTCAAGACCAAATGTGAGAAATGCGTGGATTAGTATTTGGAGCTCCTGTGCATACCCATTAACACTGCGAGTGCACTAATCAAACGTTCTAACCAGTCTTCCACACGAAGATGGAAACCCTACCAAAAGCACCGGGAACCTGGTGCCCCCGTGAATAAAAGGGTCCCCAGGCAAAGGTAAGCAGGAGCAAGCGCACAGGATCCCACTGAAGAGAACTACAGTGCTCTAGGCGCCAGACCCCACCAGCAGCTCTCAACCTTGATGCACAACAGAATTTCTTGAGAAGACTTTACTAAAAATACCAATAACCCAGCCCTGCACTTGAAGACTGCAATCATCTTATGTAACGGGAGCTGGAAACCACTGTTTGATTTGATGTGCTATTAAATTATTAAGTCTAATTTCACATTAAAAATCAACTTGCCTTTGATTATTTCTTAAATAATCTTTTTTCTTTCTCTAAAGATAAAATATCAATTCACTTCTGAAAATTTTGGAAATATTATATTTTCTTTCTATATATAGCTATCTTATAAAGTTACCTCTATATTACAGTTTTATATCTTGCTTTTTTTGATAATTAATTATGAAGCTTCCCTAAAGAACAGTACTTATTCTTTGAAAAAAATGATATTTGATAGCTCCTGATGTTTAAACAGCAAATGTTTATAAACAGTTCTGATCTTAATACTGGAAAGAGGTGATAATCATTTCACATGTTTGTATCTGATGAACCATTCTGACTTCTACAAAGCTCTATGAGAATAAAAGAATTGCAGGTAAGTAATGAACAGAGCTATGGCGCTGCCTACCACCAGTAAAGACGAATCACAGACAGGCCTGTGCTGAAAGGCACAGACAAGAGCAGAAACAGGTGAATCAGCAAGCTGCAAGGTGGTAAAAGCAATTATGGCCAGAAACTTTTGAAAAGGATAAAACAGACATTTAAAGGTGACATAAACTTTAAAACAAGGTCCTTAAAATCTAGTTAGGGAGATTAAAATTAACACATAAAAAACTAAAACAAGTAGTGCCATAAGAAGGATATGAGCAAGTGAAATTGTAAAACAAATGGAAATATATAGAACGGGGGCTACAGGGGTTTAAAGGGAGTCCAGGAAAGACAGGTGTGAGGGAAGAAACGACCAACGGCAGTCACTAAACCACCTCTTAGAGAGAAAAAAAAAAAAGTCAACATTATTTTGCTTATGGCATTCTTCCAGGATCACAGACAAACCAGGACATTGAAAATGTTACTGAAATATTAAATGCAAGAGAGAAATCAGCTGAATATTTATTATTGTCCTAATTACAAAGAGAAGACCTAATATAGGCTAATGGGAGTAGAACTAAATGAGGAGACAGGAGACACAGAGTACTAACTAGGGCTCATAACAAATGGCTTTTAACTCAGAAGTGTAATTTGCTACCTTACGCAGTTAGGAAATACTTGTTTCTATCCATTTTCTTTCATAATTCTGTAAGCGAAAAAGATACTGAATAACAAATAAAATTCTTAGAACTACTCATAATGAAGAAGAATATTAGAAGTCTAAAATAAAACATAATTTAAAAAGCCAAAGTTATACAGAACAAAAAAAGACACGGTTACACAGCAGCCCCACCTACAAGCCACGGCTCAGGCACTTTCTTCCAAGACCCAGAAATAACCGTTCAGGTGAACCAGATGCCAAGTGGTCAGAGGTAATCGCATTTTCTGAACCTCGTGATTATGACAAGTTCGTAAGGGGACTTGCTTTCTTTCCACAGTGCAAACTATTTCAAGATTCTAAGAAGAAACTAATCTTACCCATAGATTTTAATATTTTAATTTGTCATATCAAAGACAAATGCAGATAATATTCCATGCAAATTCCATGCAAATGACCCAATTTAATAGTACAAACTTTTGTTCGTCTGATATAGCAGCAAACTAAGTATTTCAAAGGAATTTAATACACGAGAAAGAAGAAAAATCCAAAATGAAAAGGCATAAAGAAAAGTGAAATGGCAGGGGACACAAACCAATCACACCCACTTTAAAGTTACCCACATTGCTTCCACTCACAGGCATGACGGAATAGCTGGGATCCAATTAGCCCTCTCACAATAAACAAATATGAACACTGGACAAAACACAGGAAAATCACTATTCTCAGACATCAGACAAAACAGGCAGTAGACGACTGCGACTTCTACAGGACAGGAGACAAGCAAATGAGCCCTAGGACAGGACACCTGGATGCCGTGAGGCCAGGAGGGGAGGCCAAGCTCAGCCTCAGCGTGCCAGGAAGCCTGACACAGACCCAAACAATACGAGAAACGCTCTCACTGCAGGAGTACTAGGAAAAATTAACGACTGATATCCCTCCTGAACAAAGATGCAAAAACCTTAATGCAATATTAGCACATCAATTTCAGCATTATGCAAAAAGCATAACACAACCCTAACTGACTGGAGTGTATGTTAAGAATACAAAGTCAGTTTACTATTCAAATATCAATCAATATAAATGCCACATTAACAAAAGAAAAGAAAAAAATCCTATGATTCATCTCAAAAGATGCAGAAAAAGTATTCAAAATAAACAGGCAAACTACAAACTAGGAGAAAAGATTTACAACACATATATTTAAGAAAGGACTTGTATACAGAATAACTCTTACACTGAATTATAAAAAGCAAAACTGAGTTATTAAAAAAAGAGGGGGGAGGGCGGTGCCAGTAGACCACAAAAGACTGAAGAGGCTCCACAAAGGAAAATATATAAATTGTCAATAATCATAATGAAAAAGTGCTCAAAACCAGTCAGAAAGTAAATATAAGCTAAAACTATAAGACACTACTATACTTCTGATATCACGGTCACAACAAACCAACAACATACCTGACAATTTCAAGTGTTAAAGGGGACACAGAGCAGCCGGAATTCTCACATGTTACTGGTGGCTGTATAAAACAGTAACAACCACTTTGGAAATCTGGCTAGTACTTTCTTATAAATTTAAACATGCACCTTCCCTATAAACCAGTAATTCTAGGTACTGATCCAAGAAAAACAGTGACCACAGTATTCACAGAAGGGCTACTCATAAGAGCCCAAAACTAGAAACAATCCAAATGTCTATCAACAGGAAATAGAAACTAACTCTAATATGGCTACCATATAATACTACAACATAAAGACTGACCAAACAACTGAAATACCAACAATATACCCGAGCCTTTAAAACACTATGCTGAGCACAAGCAGTCAAGAGACAAAACAGAATGCACTGCATAAATAACATTTATAGGACATTCTAGAAACACTCCACAGGGAGGAAGGAAACTCAGACAAGTGGTTTCTTCCACACTGATCAGAAAATGACACCAGGAATCTTTTGGGAGTGATAGAAATGCTCTGTATTTTAACAGAGGTAGGCTTATACAGGCATATGCACTTGTCAAAAAGGATTCAAATTGTTTATTTCATATCTATTTCCTTATAAAAACTGCACGTGAATAAAAACCTGGTGAATACAATCACAAAAGCAGTTCAGATCCGAAAGCGTTATTAACTCAAACGGGATCAAATATATTCTTTTTTAAAAAAAAAACAGAGTAAAATAAAACAAACCAAAAAACCTTGAGGCAATTATAATTCCAGAAATCTATAGCCTTTAGGGAAAAAAAGCAGCACTGGGGGACTTTGTGGTAATTTGCCCAAATAACAGACCCTGTTACCTCTTCTATTTAACGAAAACATGTTCTTCATACATAATAAAGAATTTTGAGATGGGAGTTACAAATGTTGGTAAGCAAAAAGATGCACACAACCTCACTTACTAACAAATAGTAGTTAAAATGCTTGTTAGTGCCAATATATAAATTGACCTGGCTATTCAGAGTATGTCTGTGTTAGACAAGATATTGTCTACCTTTACTCATTGCAAACTAATTTCAATGTCAGTGTAGCAAAAAGAAGTTTCAAAGTGACCACAAATAAATAACTGTATTTACTAAAATGAAAGGGGAAGGAAAGATAATGGGAAATGAAAAGAAAAACTGACCAAGTGTAAGTTCAGAAGTAAATGCATGACAAAATACAATAAAGTTCATTAAAGTATATAAAAGGATATTAAAAAAGCATCTCGTCTATTATAAATATAGCTGAAATAAAAAGAATGAGCTGAATATTTTTATTCCACACCTGCAAACCTCCAGCCTTTCATTCATTTTCTCCACAAATACTATTGCCACTCAAACTCAAAACAGAGGGGAGAGAATTTTTGAATTCAAATAATTTAAAACTATAAAGCTATGTTTTGTCTCATTTAATAATTATGAAACATTATTAAAAAGGCAGTACCTTATGGTTTAATTAATTCTAGTTATTAAAAGAATGTTTTACAAAATAAATACAACTAAATCAACAGAAAAGAAAAAATCAGCTAGAAACATTTCCTTACCACTTTTACAACACAGGGTGCATCGCTGCCCACGGATTTTGAAGAATTCATATCAGCTGTTTGAAAAAGTGACATATATAATATCAGAACAAGAAGTAGCACTATTATAGCCTATTACTAGCCCTTTATTAATATTTAGATCTGTATATCTATAATCTCTTGATGGAATAAATTTCAGTTCCCAAATATGTGTCTCAGGATATCATTACTGCATATTTCATCAATTTTAAGACTTTTTTCCCACAATTTAACATGTTTGAAATTGGAAGGCAACTTACATTTGCTGCTATCGTCAATGTGATCATCAATTAAGTATAGAAAACTGAGTTAAAGATTTCTTTAATTCAAAAGTATTCATGGTCTTTGATATGCTAATATAAGCTCTGCATTCCCAAGAGGATGATAACTGATACAATTTCTTAAATTTAACAAACTAGGGAATCCTTTTAAGAAGTAGCATTAGGTAGGAAGGTAAGAAGAGAGGGAGCTAAAGTTCTAAAAAGCACTTGTTTGGGGTAAAGATAACTTCTCTAGATCAATGGTTCAGGAGACTGGCACTAGACCTTTGAAATGCCATCCAGAGTAATTTTAATGTGGCTGTCATATTATTTTGTACAAATAAGAAGCAGAGTTGCCCTTAAATGCTGAATTAGGAAAATAAGGTTTCCCATACTCATTAAACACATATTTTTTACCAGATACCTATTACATGCCAGTTTCTAAGAAACAGATTTAGCAATGAACAGGAGCAAACAATCTCTGCTTTTATGATGCTAACATTTCAGTAGCTGGACACAGACAATGATTAAAATATAAAGTGTGTTTGATGGCAGTAAGTACAAGAGAAAGAAAAATTAAGCAGGAAAGGAAGACAGAGAGTTGCAAGTTAGTAAGAGGAACCTCAGTGATAGGGTGTCACTGAAGCAGTGGTCTGGAGACAGTGAGGGATGGAGCTATGAAAATAAGCTGGGAGAACATTCCAGGCAGTCCAGTGCAAAGGCCTACATGTGCCGGAGAAGAACAAGTGTGGTGCAAAGTAACAGGGTACAGATCAGAAAAGCAGCCGAGAAGAAATACAAAGATAGGTGACACAAAGCTGTGGCTATCAATGAGATGGCGAGCCACTGGAAGGTTCTGAGAAGAGAAATGGTAAGCTCAGACTGATTTTCTAAAGAATTCTGCAAGTGGCTTTGTGGAGAATGGAGGGCGGACACTAAGAGCAGAGCAGAGAGTTAAGTGAGCTATCAGAATACTCTGGGTGAGGAATGGCGGCAGCGCGAAGCAGAGCAGGAGCTCACGAGGCGGTGATAAGTGGTCAGACTGCGGATGTATTTTTAAAGAGCCAACAAGATTTGCTGATGTATTAGATACAGAGGGTGGAGGGGGGGGGGGGTCAGAGGGGAGAGGTCAGGATGACTCCAGGTTTTTGGCCTGAGCAACCAGAAAGAGGAAGTCGCTACTTGCCATAACAGAAAACTGCAGGAGGAGCTGGTGTTTCGGGGTGTCTTAAGTTTGAGATGCTTATTAAACATCCAAGTGCAGGTGTTAAACAGGCAGCTGACGTGCAAGTCTTGAGTTCAGAAGAGTGGTCCAAGTTGGATAAAGAAATATGAGAGTCATCAACACAGAAATGCTATTCATTTAAAGTCATGACACTGGAAGGGCCCCTAGGGAATGAGTGCAGACAGAGGAAAGAAGAAATCCCAGGACTGGGTCCTAAGGCCTTCTCACATGAGAAGCTGAAGAGATGGAGAGAGAGGCAAAGGAAACGGAGAAAACGCCCATCAGCTGGAAAGCAGCAGCACTGTGAAAAGGCCGTAGCTGGAACGCTTCAGAAGCCAGAAGGAACACCAAATCATAAAAACGGCTGAATGGGCAAGAGTAAGTCTGAGCTCCTTAAGAAACAGTGCTGCTGTGACGACTACCCCGCCCAGATGCTGAATTAACAACACAGCAAAGTTACATTTTTTAAAGTAAGCATTTAATGCACAAAGTGTTACAACGAGGATAGTATCCCAGTAATACTGCACGATTCAAATGAGGAAAGGGGAAAAGGCAAGTTTGATAATTCATTCAAACAACATATACTGAAAAATATGCCAGATACCAGGAAACAATAGAAGAGTTGTCTAACTGCCAAGGAGGACATATTTATTCTGGGAAAAACAAAAGTAATTTCAGTGCAACATGAAATATACTATGAAAGGTTAACAGAGGAGCATTATAATCAGATAACACCTGCCCTAAGTTCTGCTTTGGACAAATAAAGCAAAAGAAACATCACATACAAAGATCAAGAGGCAAAGGGCAGCATGATAGTCAAAGACAGATTCTGAGGAAATAAAAGGGATGAAGGAAAAAGTTAACATAGGGACCAGACTACGTGGAAGGTCTGGGATGCCATTCTCAAAGTCTGGCACTTCATCCTGAGGTCCCTGGGGGAGCCATCAGAGAAGGGTAATAAATACAGTAGATCACTCAAGCCACAATGTGAATAACAGGATGCAAGGGGGCAGGGCTGAGCAGAGAAAATTCACTGCTACCGTGAGAATCCAGACAAGACATGAAAATGACCTGAACCCAGGTAGGACCAGCAAGAGAGGGAGATATGAATGTATCTGAGAAGTCTCACAGCTGAAGCAACACCACCAGAGGAAACGCCAGGAACATCAGTGTAATAACACTTGAGAAAGCTTTCCAGTGTCTGGCTTGAGGGGTGTCATTCAATCAGATTACCCTCTCCTGATCCTGACAGAATCAAAAGATGGAAAAGGATGATATAAATTTGATGACATGCCTGTGGGTCATCCAAACAGAGATCCCTTGTAGGTCACTGGCTATGGGCCTGGACTCAAGGGACCAAGTCCTTGGTTACTAATAAAAGATATGGAAATCAACAAAAAGATACAACAGAAGTCAAGAGACTCAATGAGATCACTCAAAGAGACTACAGAGAAGGAAAAGTGAGCTGAGAAAAGGAGCTAGAGAGCACAGAGGTGCCTACAAAGATGACTTAGCAGCACATCAAGAGGCAGGAGGAAAACCAAAGGTGAAAGTATGTATTATGAAAGACAATGGAAGCAATGTTCATGAGGAGGAAAGGTAAACTGTATCAAACACTGTAGGAGTATCTAAACAAAAAAGCAATTTTTTAGCAGAAAACCATCAGTGAGCAGAAACTGCTGACGATCTTGAAAATGACTGTTGTGATGTCAGTGGGCACAGAGAGATAAAGCCACAATACTGAAGAAAACTCCTTTTCCAGATCAATCTAGTTTTTAAAAGGTGAAAGCTTTATTACAGAAATCTGTCAAACCATTGGATATTAAATTTACTGTTAGATGGCACTTTCTGATGAGAAATATCAATATAGATAAAACAGCTAGCACACATGCAAAGCAAGCTGCAAATTTGCCAAAGGTTACAAAAGCAACTTAACTAACACAAAGTGAAGAATTTACTTGCTTTAAGACAAGTTCCCATGCCTAATATGGGAAGTCTTCAGTATACACATTCTTCAGTAGAGTGAGCTTACAGAATTGCCATCTCTAAATTACAAGGTCAAAAATATAAACCCGGCTAGTATATCTAGTAACCTTTCATGACTTATGAAGTTTAAGTCAGATAGTCTAGATCGCTGGGATGGGTTTGGTTCTGAACAAAACTAAAGAATCAATTTATTTCCCCTAAGAGAGGTGCCACTGATCTAGAGACACTGTATTTATAAAATACAGTAAAGTGCGGGTTTTCAAATTATGTTCCATGAACATACATCTAGAGACTGCAGCAGACCAACTACAACTCATTGGTCCTAGTTGAGTTAGACCCCTCTTGACTAAGAACAGCTGCTCTTTCATCTATATCAGTGATTCTCAAACTTTCCCAGGCATCTACCTGCACCCCCTGCAGGGCTTTTCAAACACATGGCTACACCTTCTCCCTACAGCTGCTGATTCGTCGGTCTGGGGTGGGACCCAAGAGTGTGCACTTCTAACAAGTTTTCACATGATGCTAATCTAGTATTATATTAGTATTGTGAGGAAGACATTGCTCAAAAGAAAGGTTCACTACTAAAACAAAATTTTATAAACCTCATACAGAAATTTAATAATTAAATAAAGATTAGAGAAAGAGTAAGAATATACAGTAGAAAAGTCAGAGAGAAATATCAAAAGCAATCATTAAACACACTGTATCAATACTAACATTCTGAGAGAAACAGCTTTAGAAGCAATCAGGTAAAATATTTTTCAAATGAACAAATTAGCTAACTTACAGTATCTCAGGGTTCCACAGTGGGTCCCCTAAAATTTAAATAATGTGCTAATTAAATAGCATATTTCAGACTTAATATGCAATTTCTAGGTCATTCTCCTAAATTCCACCATGATGACTATTAAGGTTGCATAGAAAGAAGAAATATCCATACCTATTAAAGATATGAAAAACCTCCAAATTACACTAAAACAAAGGGAATATATCCTAATTGGGTGGAGGTACAGAAAGAAAGATATGGCTTTCTTTGAGTCTCAAAGGAGATTAACATTATATAGAATATCTAAGAAATCTAAAGCCTATGCTCACTAGTGGCAATGTTAGAGATGTTTTAGCCTCTATTTCTACTGTGATTAAATCAACCGTCTTCTCCACTCACATGTCAGAGAGGCATTTTTGCCTAATAATATGCTGATGTAGACTATTTGGAGCATCCTATAAAAGTCTGCAATTAAGAAAATATGTTTATAAAAAACTTGTAAATCTTTGGACTGACAATCAGAAGTAGTGGTATACTCACCAAGATATATACAACCAAAGCCTCCTTGGCCAACGGGAGACCCCAGTTTCCATTCCTTTTTGGTCATATCAGTGATTATCTCCCCAGCTGCAAAATGTTCTGCAAGACGTCTCTTTGCAGGGCCCTGTCTTTCAGCCTGAGCTGCTTTTACACGAGGCATTTTCACTATAATATAAAACAAAGCACACTCAAAATTATAATCCTGGAAGTGTTGAAAATGTTTTCAATGCAAAGATGTTATTCAAATTCATACTTACTTCGAAGTTTAAATAAAGGACTAATAAGTGCTCAATTCTGTTTATCTCTTAACTTGGAAGAGGAAGCAATAAGTAACATGATCCATGCAATTACTTGCAAGAAAATATTTCAAGTTCCAGTGGTATAAAATCATCAATGACTAAAAATGCTATTTAGTGCTAACAGTGTATGGGGTGGTATGTGATTTCAAACTCTAAGAATAACCTATTTTAATCTACTAGTTGAAAAATATTTAAAACAAATAGTTTTTAGGATTCTATAGTTCCTTAAAACTATATTACAGATACAGTACAGAAAGAAAAGAGATTGATAAAAGCTGTAAGGTAGTCTGCAACATCTGAAATGGCTATTCAGATAAACGATGTCTGTTAAGATTTGACAATTTATGTAAGCAGCTTGGTTTTGAGCCTAGATATTCTAAATACATACACACCACATTAGACTGGAAAATTTAAGCAAGTATCTACCCACTATCATTGTACATACACAAACTCCATTTATGCAAATGCTCTTTATTAATTTATTTGGAATTTTAAATTTAACTTTTCCCGACAGAGTACTGATATATATCTTCATTGACTATATCCTAAGTTAACAAAAACACTTCAAAATAAATGAATGTGCTTGTTATTTCTTCATATCAATTAATTCTCTTAATGTGTTTATAATCACTGAAAGAGTTTCCTGAATGGAATTTCAGTGCAACCATAATAGCCCACATTCAAAACATCAAAGAAAGGTGATTCTGACAACTACAGTTAAGTAGATTGAGTATAACTAAAACACACAGTACTATCAAATACTAAAAGGAATGCCTTCTAAATTTTATCCAACTTAATCAAACCACCAGAGTAATCTCCTATTCGATAATTTCCTTATAGCATTCAAGATAGTTTAAATGATTTAAAATTAGAGAAGATTCCTGAACTTTTAAAAAAAAAAAGTGAAACTACAAAATGAAATATCACACCTGCATACTAATCAACCCAGGATGACCAGCTCTAAGACACAGCCTACTCTGGTAAAATTACTGAAATTAATAGTTAAAGAAAATATTCTTTGTGCTTCCAGGCCAAAAAGAAGATACTCTGTAAGGAAAGTAAAATCATATTGTCATCATATTGACAGCAACACTTTATGCCAGGAAAAAAGGGAAGTAACATATTCAAGACTCAAGGAATGAAAATACAAACCAAAGAGTCTATATTCAATTAAATTTCAAGTCTAAGGACTTCAAAGTGTTATCAACATGGAAATGGGGAAAGGAGTAAGAATCTACTAGAAAACAAGTTTCAAATACCCCAAATGACTAAAGAAGTGTCACTGTAAGAACTGACAGTGAGCAGTAAATAGATAATTATTTGCAGAACTGAGTCTCAACAAGGGTAACAAAGGAGATGATAGAGTATACAACAGGTATATGTTCTGACAATGCAGACATAGCACAACTGCAAAAAAAAAAAACGGGAAAACAAGCTAAAAAAATCAACTTTCGCTCATACTGTGATGATCCTTGGTTTTGTTAACTAAGGATATTGTAGGCAGACATGGAATAATGCAAATGAATAATTATGTGATGTTTTAATTCTACCATCGCTGTGGCCTTAAAAAATAGGATTCAAATACAGAAGGGGATGCAGATGAAAGAAGAGGCGGGGTGATATTTGGAAGCATTGTTTTTAATTCAGAAGGTATTTTAACATTTACGAAAAGGATATATATATACACACACACACAGACACACACCTTTGTATTCCCAAGTCCCGTTCACAAATAAAAAAGCTTAGAAAAAGAAAACACAGCAGCAAACAAGGAGCACTCCCAGCACACACATCGCATTCTTGAAATACCATTTCCTGTTAAAACGGCGCCTTGAGCAAATTACAGATTTCAGGTCTGGAGCTGGAAATGTACAAGATAATCTTGGAAGATCTCGTCATTTCTAGATGTCAAGGAAGCTATCAAAAACTACTAGAGTTATGTCAAATATGTCTAAGGAGTCAACCTGGAAGATACTACCACTAACCAAAGATGAGCCAATTTGAGTCAATGAAGATAATAACCATAATGGATTAAAACACACAAAATGGGTAAATCGAAGTTTATAACAGTAAGAAAACTTAAGTGGTCACCTCCAGAGGATAGCAAGAAACCACTCAAATTTGAAAACCGGTGAATAAAGGGAAACAATCAAGCATCTATCCTTCCTTTCGTATATGAATTGTACCACTAGGTAACCAAATAGAAGATGGAGAGAAATTTCTCCTTACACAGAAAAATTTCAGCTAATAAGTAAAAATGGTTTTAGCTTAACACCACTTCCACCTCCTAATGAATTAATGGATCCAGACACTGACCACTGACAGACACTAACATCCAAAGCAGAGAACTATTCAGACAGTACATGCCTCCTGATCAAAGAACATGCCACTAGCCATGAAGAAATTCTGCCAAAAAAGAAACAAAAAATAAACATACCCTGAATCTGATTCAGCCTATCAATTCACAGGATATGAAGGGACCAGAAGAATATGATAAACTATGACACAGGAATGCAATCAGCAGAATTGTAACTCTGGAAAGGAAACCCTTACGGTGCATAAGATCCCATTTCTTCAACAGATAAAGGAGGAAAAAAGACATGGGGGAGAAGAAAACTAGATTTTAAAAGACTATAAAACATACCTAGCAAAATCTGGCAAATCTAAACCACAGTGTTGAGGGATACACATTTGAATGGTAAACCTATAAAGAAAAGAAAGCCATTACCATAGAAGCTGGAGGTGACTTTGGGGAAGCACAAGAAAGTTGGGATTCAGATGGGGCCCATGGTAGGCACAATTTTCTTGACACAAGTGGTGATTATAATAAAAGTTCCCTCTGATTCATTATGTCTGTATGTGCATAATAAGGTTTTCTGAATTGTGACATATTTTATGGTTTTTAAACTTTAAAAAATGACTGTTCCTATAATTAACAATCACCAAGAGATCAAAATTGGAAATCCTTTCATACTCGTGAGCTTGGTCCAAACACACACAGACACACACACACAGAAAATAAAGAAAAAAGATTCCAAAGTAAAACTGTACTTCATTTCCTGTGAACTATTGATGGCCTTCTGCTTTTTTATTCACAGGTACTCCTTATACATTCTATACATATTAAAGAAATTAGCTCTTGGCATTGCAACTAGTCTTCCCAATTTATCTGTCCTTTGACATTGTTTATTTTCAGTTTTGGAGTTTTATGTCATCCTTAGAAAGACCTCTCCCAGTAAAATTGTTTTTTTTTCAAACATCTCCCATGTTTTCCTTTAGTTATCTTATGGTTTCATAAGATTCTTTGCTAATTCTTTTGTCCGTCTACACTTATACTGGTATAAGACATGAGGTGGCAACCCAGCTTTTTTTCCCTTTTAGTCATCCATACATATCAGGAAGATGCACAAGTATTGGAGAAACCCACTCCAGTCTTCTTGCCTGGAGACTCCCATGGACAGAGGAGTCTGGTGGGCTACCATCCATGGGGTCGCAAGAGTCAGACACGACTTAGCGACTAAACCACCACCACATATATCAAACGAATCCAAGTAAACTAACTACAGAAAACAATTCATCTAACTTGTATAATGTAGGTCCTCTGATCACCAGTTTCAATGGAATGGAAGGTTGGTTACTAGTTAGTATTTGAAACTAACTTTATCCTTGGGTTAAAACTTCCCTCACACCTCTAGATACTCCACGTGAAGGTGAAGAAGTCAATGAAATATACTCTGCTGCTCTGACAGAAAGGGGCCACTACAACACAGAATTTTCTTTAGAATAATCCTAACTGAAACTCCTTTCCTCCAGTGGCTTCTTATGGAAAAAGATACTGCGGTCCCCCTCCAGCCAGTCCTACAATCTTAGGTGGGCCACAGACAACCAACAGCCATGTCAGTGCTCAGAGCTGGCTTCTGCTGGGTGTGAGAGGGTTGACAATGACAGTGGATTAATAAACAAGCATCTGGTCAATAACCTTTTTTTAAAACGTTTACTTTTAACTAAAGAATAACTGCTCTCCAATGTTGTGTAGGTCTCTGCTATACATCAGCATGAGTCTGCCACAGATGTGCGTATGTCCCTCCTTCCTGGAACTCCCTCCCACCCCATCCCCCCTCTAGGCTGTCAGAGCCCCAGTCTGAGCGCCCTAGGCCATACAGCGAATTCCCCCGGCTATCTATTTTACACATGGAATAACCTATCTTTTAAAATGTGAGGAGAGGAGGAGCCAAGATGGCGGAGGAATAGGACGGGGAGACCACTTTCTCCCCTACAAATTCATTGAAAGAACATTTGAACGCTGAGCAAATTTCACAAAACAACTTCTGATCGCTAGCAGAGGACATCAGGCGCCCAGAAAAGCAGCCCATTGTCTTCGAAGGGAGGTAGGACAAAATATAAAAGATAAAAAGGGAGTCAAAAGAGCTACGGA